ATTCTTTTGCTATGAATCTCTTGGCTATGTCTGAGTAGATTCATTTGTTAGATTTGGGGTTCAAATAGTTATGAGGGATTAGCCCCAACTATGGATTGTTGAGTTGTTATATTCATTATCCAAATGAACCCTAATGCTTACTCTAGATTTGCTACCTAGAGTTATGATTATGGAGTGACTAATCTAATAGTCATTTTCCCGAAATCATTTGGCTAAGCCCAGACTCTATTAGGCGCGATGCGACAGCCGGTCTGATAGAAATTCTCGGGTGAACACAGTTTCAATCCGATCTGATACTATATATCGATCGATACTCCTCTAGAGTCATCGATCGACAGCAACATATATCGATCGACACTGCGATAGCAACATCGATCGATACTGTCGGCAATCAGATCAATGGATGAGTTTAATAGCGACAGCTATAGATTCATCTAAGGATTGAAGTTCTCATATATTTGCAAGCAATTCGTTAAGACATCCATAGATTTATAATCCTGATTTTCTGAATAGCAACCTTGAATCTAACTATTTTCTTTCATTGTTTTCAAACCTAAAACCTATTTTCCTTAGCAACTTACCATTGCTACCTATTTTTATTTATTTTTTTAAAACATTTTCAACCTAGCTTAATCACTTAGGATTATATCTTTTGTGACTCTAGTTCCTTGTGGATTCGATCCCTAAGTACTACGATTGAACCTCTTATTTGAGAGAGTAAATCACTCCTTAGGGTTAAACATTTGAGTAACATCAGGGGGAGGCTGTGAGACATGCTACGTATCTGATTAACAGAACTACAACTAGGACACTGACTGTTATGACTCCATACGAGGCTTTCAAAGGAAGCAAGCCTAATCTAGCTCACCTACGTGTGTTTGGTTGTATTGGTTATGCAAGAGTAGAAGCTCCTCACAGGAAGAAGCTGGATGATAGGTCTCGAGCACTAGTCCATCTTGGGACAGAACCAAGAACTAAGGCGTATCGGTTGTTTGATCCTACAAGTCAAAGGATCACAGTTAGTCGGGATGTGATCTTCATGGAAGAAGAAGGATGGAATTGGAACAAACAAGGGATGGAGAGAGATGTAGGATCGTTTAGCATCAATCTTGGAGAGTTTGGAAACAGAGGTCTAAAAGAGTTAGAACCTGCTATGGAGACGCATGGTGTTATGCAATCTACAAGAACGGAACCTGAAATTGATACAGCTGAAACTGGTACTAACACTGATGTTGCAGAGATCTCAGATGAAGAGGAAGAACAACCACAGCTAAGAAGATCCACAAGAGTAAGGACACAACCAGAGTACTTGTCAGACTATGTTCTACTAGCTGAGACAGAGTCTGATTGGTTACTAACGGCCATTAATGATGAGCCGTGGGACTTTACTGAGGCAAAGGAGCAAAAGGTATGGCTAAACGCTTGTGAGGATGAGATAGCTTCAATTGAAAAGAATCAGACCTGGAATTTAGTTGACTTACCCATGGGAGCCAAGCCTATTGGACTTAAGTGGGTGTTTAAAGTCAAGCGAAATCCAGATGGAAGTGTGAACAAGTATAAAGCAAGACTAGTAGCAAAGGGATATGTGCAGAGACATGGGATAGACTATGATGAAGTGTTTGCACCTGTTGCAAGGATTGAAACAATTCGACTTATCATAGCCTTAGCAGCATCACATGGCTGGGAAGTTCATCACCTTGACGTAAAGACAGCATTCCTGCATGGTAACTTGAAGGAGGAAGTCTATGTGTCACAGCCGGAGGGCTTTGAGGTCAAAGGAGGTGAGAACAAGGTGTATAAACTTTCAAAAGCTCTTTATGGCCTAAAGCAGGCTCCTAGAGCTTGGAATGATAAGTTGAATCAGATTCTTAAGGAGTTAAAGTTCACACAGTGCTCTAAGGAACCGTCCTTGTATCAAAGACAGAAAGAAGAGCATCTACTCATCGTGGCAGTCTACGTGGATGATTTACTCGTCACAGTTTCTGATTTGTCAATGATAGTTGATTTTAAAGGGGAGATGGAAGCAAAATTTGAAATGAGTGACTTGGGAAGACTAACATACTACTAGGGTATTGAAGTGATGCAACATGGTGATGGAATCACGCTTAAACAGGAGAGGTATGCGCTTAAGCTTCTTTCTGAGACAGGGATGAGTGACTGTAACTCAACTTGCGTACCTATGGACATAAGTTTGAAGCTTTCAAAGGGACTTAGTGAAAAGTCTATTGAGTAAAAAAGGTATAGGAGGAGTGTTGGATGTCTGCGTTATCTAATTCATACTCGTCCTGATCTTTTGTTTAGTATTGGAGTGCTAAGCAGATATATGGTTGATCCCAAGGAGTCACATGATGCAGCTTTGAAGCATGTTCTGAGATATTTGTGTGGGACTGTTTCATATGGTCTTAACTACAAGCGTACAAGCAAGATGCCAGTGCTATTGGGATACAGTGATAGTTCACTTAATGTAGATGTTGATGATGGAAGGAGTGTGACAGGGCATATCTTTTATCTTGGTGAAAGCCCCATCACATGGTGTTCACAAAAGCAGGAGACTGTAGCTTTATCTTCTTGCGAGGCTGAATTTATGGCGGCCACAGAAGCAGCAAAGCAGGCGATATGGCTTCAAGTGACTCTGAGTGAAACTACTGGACGGCATGCGAGAGAGTTACTATCCGAGTGGACAACAAATCGGCAATCTCACTCACAAAGAACCCAGTCATTCATAGAAGAAGCAAACATATACATAGAAAGGTACCATTTTATACGAGAATGTGTTGAAAATTGTCAGGTAGATGTTGAGCACGTTTCTGGAGACAAGCAGAAGGCGGATGTCTTAACTAAGGCACTCGGGAGGATCAAGTTCACAGAAATGAGAGAGCTCATAGGTGTTCAAGATTCAACACAAATCAACTTCAAGATTAAAGGGGAGAATGTTGAGATAAGCTTGAAGTTGATAAAACAAGATTGAGACTTGTGGCACAAGCTAAAGAAGGATCCTAATCTATCGGAGTTTAGAGATAAAAATGGAGTTGTTTTAGGAGTTATTTATAACATTAAAGGATCTTTATCTTAAGTTATTAGGATCTCGTGTGTTAGCTATATATATACAACCATCGAGTTATGATAAGTTTGTATGAGTTTGTAAGTGCTTGAGGTTTTTGAATCAGTTTTACCTTAAGGAAATAAAAGAGTTATTTATACTTACAATCACATATACACAAGCAATCGGTACTCTGTTTTTTCTCTGTTTCAATAAGTTAGCGGCGTACCATTGTTTCTTTCGATGATTTCAGTCAAATATATAACTTGAAGAAAAAGATACTATTCTCTTTTAGCCATTAAATTTTTGAGTTTTTAGTAGAAAACATGGTATGATCGCAAAAGTCTGCAAAAAAAAAAAATAATAAACCAGTTAACCAAACCAAGCAATCTAAAACCTATGTTTATCTTTCTTTCTTTTTAACCTATGTTTTTCTTAATTTTTTTAACAAATTGAGAATATAAATAAAATAAACTCTCACGATATGTAAATAGTAGACCTCTCCTTTAATACACGATTCTTCATTTTATTTTGTTTTACAGATTATTATTATAATTAGTTTTTAACTAAATATATAATTATTCAATAAATATAATATTAACCGCTCTAACTTTTAACACCATAAAAAAACTCTTTAAGTTGCATAAACTACACCAAAATCCAACTCCTCAAGTGATTTTCATTCCGATCCCATAAATTCCAAGAGCCAATAAGGTAGTCTAATTCCGGACGCTGCAAAAATTATCCAAATCAGCTTTTGATCCTAAGACCATATTTCAAGCTGATAGCCTCCTTAAACAAGACTTCCATTGGCCTCTAGAACTGAATCCAAGCAAACCTTTGTCCCTAGCCCTATTTAGAGCTTCTTTCCAAATAAAACGTTTCACATCTGCTCTAACACTCTAAGCACTAGTTTGCCTGTAGAAAGATACAAGCCCAAAACAAAATTGTCGAATAAATCACATACTACAATAGACAACAAGCCTGCAAAAGACAGATGCTTTACTGTCAAGAGAACCCGTTTATTCAATTTCGACGGTGAAATATCATCAAACTGAGTTTTCACATAACCACACAACAATACAGAAAGGTTCACAGACAGACCATATATAATTGGGGAAAACATCGAACGCTTGTTCATCAATGGGAACATGTAACGTTCCCAAGTATAGAGAGAGAACCACAGATTATACATATTATAATCTGTTTAATGAGTTATAAATATAATTTGATGAAGTTGCGAAGGAACGATCAAAGCATGGTGGAAGTGATGTGATCAATGGGGAAAGGATTGCCCAAGACACTGTCCATGAAGTAATGATGAGGATGTGTTGCGTCCATTACTACGAACTGCATATCCTCTGATGGCTTCCAATGCCTCTTCCTCTGGTTTATGAACCAATTGTTTATCTGTTTCTGGTCCAGCCCGGTTGATTCCGCCAACGCCAGCTTCTGTTGCTCCTGCCATTTAAAATCAACACCGGAGAAAAAAGTGTCAGTCATCAAGTTTTCTTATTAACATTCCCAATAAATCAACGATTTTCTACACGGAATCTAGAATTTTGAATAAGTGCTTAGGTGACGACACTATATAGTTATTTGTTATGAAGTAGTTCAACCAAACATATATTCTACACAAGTGTTGACTTAGGCCACTATTCCTTGGGGGCAATGATGAAATTTGTTTTCATGCACACTACTTTCTAGTGTTATGACTCTAGGTATGTGCATCTAAGTTTAGGCTAAATTATGGTAAAGACAGTTGAAAATTCTACTTTTCTTAACTAGATTGACGTCAGAAAAAGAAACCCGAAACAGCATCAATTGACCAAATAAATCCAATTCATTTATCTTGATTAGTATTTCTTGTTATCCCAGTGAAATTCAAGAATCAAGGAAAACATGAGATATGAAAAACATAAACAACATATGTTGATCTAGAAAGTTAAATTCACTCATGTTATTAGGATTTCTAATCATGTAAATACAATTTATGCAATGTATTTATAAATTGTGAACAAAAAGCCAGTATGTCATGAACGAGTATAAAAGCACAAGTTACCGAAGGGTATGGCCACTTGTAGTGTCGGCTCCACCAATCAAGAAGTTGTTGGCGAGCTTCTTTAGGCAGCTTTCCTTTCTTCCTCTTTTTCATGAACTCTTGCTTGAGGCTGCCTAAGTAACCGCTGTACTTGCGTAAGAGCTGTCCTTTAAGCTCCCTATCCTCGGCCTGTGGATCTATATATTCATTGTTCATATCGACTTCTTCCTCCGATGACCCATTGTTGTTTCTGTCAGTAGCAGTCTCTCCATAACCTAATTTGATAAATCATATCGAAACAATGACCAGAAATAAGTTATCACAAGAAACCGCTATATGGATTCTGAAAATTAGATTGTTCAACTAGACAAGTTAAAATGAATAACTTAGCGATCCAAGTAATTAAAAAAACACAAGTTCAGTAAGTACAAGCTTGACTAAACTCGTGAAGACGAGAGACTAGGGATATGACAACATGTAAGATATATGTTAATGGGATTATACCACAAAAACATGTGTATGTCCAAATTGAGCAATATATCTAAAGGACGAACAGACTCTAGATACAGATATTCTTTTTAATGCAATAAATCTAATAGATCCAAACAAACTGAGAAGAAAGAGACAAGAACACCGACTGCTCTTGCACCAAGCAAAAACAAAAGAAATTCAATTCAGAAATAGAAACTTGAAATATACATTTTAAATACTTCTCTTTTTTTTGTCAACAAATACTTCTCATTCAGTAAAACATAAACACATACACGAGCTTTAGGTATAGACAAATTATACACGTAAACCTAGTAAGCTATATATATATAATAATCTGGCACAGTGACACTAACCCTAGCAACAAGCATCAAAGGTGCATTAACCCAAGAAAAAGGAGAAATCTTTCTTAAACCACACAAAGGAAAAAAAACAACACTTTCCTCATCTTACGTTTAATCTGACGCCATAATTAATAAAAAGGATTTTTAGCAAAAAACAGAGAGAGAGAGAGAGAGTAACCGGAGAAAGAGGAAGGAGAGGAGAGAGAGAGGGATTGGAATTGACACTCGACGCGTTGAAGGAAGACCATAGCTTCCTTAAAGGGTTTAGAGAGTTCTTGCTCGTACTTAACCAGCATTTCACAGTAAGCTTCCATGAATTGATCAAGCCCTGGATCTTCACCTAAAGACCCTGTGGGTCCCGTGGACGCTGCAGCCGCTGCCGCAGACGAGAGCTTCGCCTGCACTTCCGGTGGAGCTCCCACCTTAACAATTTTGTAATTAAATAATATACATGAAAAAAGTATTAGTTAAAAGAAACGACAAGTATAGTCAATTTTCTTGTGGATTTCATATATGAGTAGAGAGAGCCCACAACAATGTTTTGAATAATTTCTTGAAAATAGGGTTCCTGAAATTAACTGTTTCTTGTTCTAAGCTTCTTCGAACTTTCTCGAATAAGAATTTTTATTTTTGATGTTTAGATATATTGTTGGATTAAGTAATAAACAAAAGGGAACATCAAAATCAAACTAAAACATCAGAGTAATTAAAAGGTTATCTAAAAAGGGGTAAAGTTTGGTAACTAGGGTTTCTAGAGTCTTCTTCTTTGTGTAAAAAAATAAACAAGGATCATGAGTTAAGAATAGACTTAAAGTATGATCCCCTCATCAGGATTTTCCTTTTTCTTTTATCATCACCTTCTGGCAATTGACATAGGCAAGCAAAAGGTGGTGGTAGTGAGGATGAGCCATGATTTTGGCCTTGACTGAGGCCGGAGAAGAAGAGGAAGAACAAGGGTTGAGTCCTCCCACAAGGAGGTCGTTTTGATGATGGATCTCCATGAGAGAATAAACAGGAGCACAAGAGGAAGGAGGAGAAGAGGCCACTTTGTTCTTCGTTTCTTGAGGAGGAACTGGTGACTGAAGAAAAAGGGAACTACTTTGTTGTTGGTTTGACTGATATGAATAACCATCATGTTGTTGTTGGCGTTGAAGATCATGATCATGATGTAGTTGATGTGTACGCATCATCATCAACATAGGACACATCGGACCATCACTATTATCCCCGGCAAAAGCCATTGGACAAGAAATGCTGTTGGAACCACTACCCATCTTCTCTTTCTCTCAGTAGTATTATTATTCACTTTGGCTTTGCTATATAGCTACGAGAAAGAAAAGTAATAGCAAAAAGAAATTAAACAATAATAATAATAAAAAGAAGAAGAGCACTGTATTTACAGCTAGCATTATCATCAATATTATGAAACACAATCAAGTACTACAATTTTATTGGGAACCCTAAAAGAGTTAAAGAGTTAATATATATATGTGTGTATATGTAAGATTTAATTTAATTAATGAAAATGCAAAAGTGGTCTCCCGGGATTTATGCTTCAAGAATCAGCTTCCTCTTTACATTGATTTTTTTTTATTAATAGTGATAGTTATTGGGGAGAGGGAAGCAGCAGAGACCAGAAAGATAAACCAATGGAATTTTCTTCTAAAATAATTAGAGATATATTTTTACGAGGAAAAAGCAGACATGGACAGAGATGGTGTGATCTGTGGGTTCATAACTCTTTTGTGTTCATCTGGTAAAATATGATTTCTCTCATTTATGTGAATCGAAATTAATAGTGACAGTTGCTTGAAATTGAGAAACCCGGAATGCTCTTGAGAAAGCGCAGGCGCAACAAGAAACCTTTGGTTTGATTCTGATTACCAATTTATTTGCCAAAAGTCATGATTTGTGATGTCATATGTACGTATATGATGTAAAGATATGAATTTGTGTGTATATAAATATAAGGTGTGCATGTATATGTCATGTGAGGATATTGATAAATATTTTTGTTAAAAATGTGATTTGTAGTTTAAGAAAGAAATCTTGTTATTTAGTTTAAAAACTGAAAAGTAAAATTAGGAATAAATTAAGTTAAATGATTTTCTCTAGATCAATTTAACCTAAGTATTTAAGTTTTTGGATTCCACAATGATCATGTGGTCCAACCCATTCAAATATTTTTGTAATAGATTAAATTAAAATATCCATTTAAACTCACGACCTGATAGATGGCTAGAATTGATACATTATAATTTGGACATGGTCCATTCACTGATAACATACCATTTGATAGACCTGAGCGTATGGGTATATGTTCGGGTTTGGATCGCGTATATCGAATATCATTTTTTTTTCTAATACTTTTTAGGTTCCATTTTAAGAAATTTTTAAATTTGGATCGGGATCAGATATAACAAATCGGTTTCGGTTTAGGTTTAGATTATACTGAAGTTACCGCATATCATTTGGATTCAGATTTTAATGTATCAGTTGCGGATTAACTGAAGTAAAATTCAAAGAAAGTAAATAAACATTCACTTAACTTAAAATTACGAATCACAATTGTTGAGATTTGATTTATTGATACTCATTTTTATGACCCCAACGAAATAGAACAAGATCTGAAGATTTATAAATATGTAGCAATTACTGAAATTGTCAGGTTTTTTATGTTATTAAATGATAACATTAGATAAATATTTACAAATTGATCACACTGATAAGTGAAATATGAAAACTCACATAATATATAGTCGTAGCAACACAAACTTTGTTAAGTAAGACAAGCTGATAAGAACTAAAAAACATGTCTCTCAAACTTTGAAAATAATAAATGTGTCTTGGAAATTATCGTCTTTGTATAACACATGTATATATTTTATCTACATAATATATACATTTTGGTTATTTCAAATTCTAATTCGGATTTCGAGTTGAACTGAACTCATACTTGATATCCAAAGTATCAACATATCAAAATGGATTAGATATTTTGATAGACTCATAACCTATCGGATTCCATTCTGGATTATAGATACTATGCTCAGGTCTACCATTTGACATCGCTAAAGGTCAGTGTGGTAGCTTCAAGCCTGCCATTACAAATAAAATGGTAAAAATATATCTATGGACGTATTCCTACCTCAGTTAAAATAGAATTGTGCTTAATTGTTTAGAATTATTACCTTTTCATTGTCACAAATTTGTTCGTTTTTAATCTAACTTTAATGCATGATAATGTTTATATCATTACTTTCTTGGATGTAAAATGTTTGCGAGCTATACCAAATATAATGTAATATGGTACAAAACATCTCAATTATTAAAATATGTAAATAATCTCACAACCTTTATGTTATCCATACCACATGTAGGGATGGATCTAGAAACAAATACAGATGGGGACACACAAAAATTTACAGTATATTTTAGTTTTGGATTGAAGGCTTTCTATAGATCTTATAGTATTTGTTAAGGGAAAATATAAGTTAAATGGGAGTACGTGACCCCGTACGTTCCTCTATCCGCTATTGATCACATGTATAAACATATACATAGCTGATCTTTAACTGATCTTTACACTAACTAATGAGGTCAAACCGTACCTTTAAATATAAATACATTTTTCTAAAAAAAATTAACCCGATCTAACCCATATCTATTAACCCAACCTGATCCGCGCTAAAAAACAACTTGTTTTTACGCAAAATTACACAACATTTTTAGTTTCATAAAGTGAATCGATTTGGGGTTTTTAAGAGAGAGAGAAAATATATCTGTATATATATAGTGAAAGAGAGAGATTACGAACCCAACCAACATCATTTTCTTTTCTTAGAGTTGCTTTGTTCTTAGAGAAAAATAAATCTGGGAGAAAATGCAAAATTGATTTTAGGATGTATTAATTTGTGTGTGATATTATAATTTTGGAGGATTTAGTCGGATCCTCACCCACCAAACTCATCTCTCTCTCACACTCTCTTACAAATTCCCAAATTTTTAGTTAGGAAGCCTAACTAAATTAATTTGAGGAAGATATTGACAAGAATTGTCTTGGTTCTGTTTTAATAAGTTGGATCGATTCGGATTTATTTAATTGGGATTTATGTTTATAATTACGAATTGACCCATTAAATAGTGTAGAAATTAATTAAGCCTAATTGCGTAGTTTCCATCATATTATTTTTAGTTTTGTACATGTGGTATGATAAACATAAAATTGGTGATGTTATTGACATATTCTCATATTTGAAATGTTTCCATCATATTACACTATAATGGTGTAGCGGACAAGATGAAGGGAATAATTGAAGTAAAACTCAATTCTATTTTGAGTTTACATTATTTTGAAGAAAAAACTGTCTATGTACTAAATTGACATCATTAAGGAGATGCTATTTTCTTTAAAATTTGGATAACCAACTACTTTCTCTTTAGATGTGACACCTTATTGAGAAGTATTTGCGGGAGTAACTATTTTTAAAGTTGTGTGTATTCCCATACTCTTATGGCTATGTTCATAAGTAATCTATTTAAAAATATTTATGGCGACATAGAAAGAGTATGAGAAAGCTTATTTTTCTTGCTTTTAGGTTAAGGACAATGATTCGTTGAAATACAGTGTCTTAGAAAAAGAGATGAAGAGATAAATGTTCAAGGCAAAGTTTTACTTTCCCCATAAAGAAAAAAATCTATCCCTTCAGTTTTCTTCCTTACTCCACTTCCCTTCACTGCCACTTCTGGCAAAGAAGAGATATCTGAGAAACTGTTAGATAGAGAAAGACTACAAGGAACCCATCAAATCATGTTTATACTTGCGAAAGTCGGTTTTATTTGTATTCTTCGATTTAGATACACAGAAATCTGAGCACGATATTCATTGTTTTAGGTTTAATTAAGATACGTTGGGTGTAGACAAAAAGAAGAAGTTAAATTACTTTTACAATCGAAGCAAATACCTCTACATTGCTGATGGATGGGTTTCCACTATCTGCTAAATAATATTTTCACTATGGGAGATAACATCTTAATATCAAAGTTAAGTGTAACATTTATATTTAAACCAAAAAGTGTAACATTAATAGGATTCAAATATTACTCCATTCGTTTGAAAATGATGCATATTTTAGTTCGTTACATATATTAATAATGGGGTTTAGGGTTACATATATTAAATTTCAATTATATATCAATAATTTTAGGATTATTACTTCTCATCGTTCTTAAATAATAATAATTTGGTAAATACAATTAATTTTAAAAATTCTAATTAATCATTATTAGTGGATAAAATTACACTAAAATATTTAAAATATTTAAAATATATATTTGAAACAAACTTAAAACAAAACATGCATCTTTATGAAACGAAAGGAATAGTCCTTTTTTTTTTGAAACATCACGAAAGGAGTAGTATATTACTAGCTTTTATCAACTCCATTAACCATATTATAGTAATGAAATGATTTATTTTGTTAACTGAGAGATAATGGTTCAAATATTTCCACAAGCTTATTAGTTATGGTTGAGTGGTTGACCATAATTGACACCTTAAATATCAAATACTAGGCAGGTAACATTTTCACCATAAAAAATACTAGGCAGCGTCTGTATATGATATCTGTCTATTATTATTTTTGTAACAAAACTATTATTTTTTTGTAACAAATATCATTCAGATGTCTCCAAAAGATTTTGTTTTTGTTTTTTGAACACTGTCTCCAGAAGATTATAAACTGAAGTTCAAACTAAGTTCTATGAGTTAAGATTTTTATCAAGTAAAATGTTCACATGAGTAGACCATAGATGAACTTTTAATCACGTATATCATGAATTGGTTTTCCAGAATTCGAGTTATATTTTGGCATTTTAGTACACCATTTGAACTTGTGATCATCATTCAAATTTCTTGTATTATAGACGTGGGCCGTATATTTGTAATAGACAAATAATCTGACAGTGGTAAGAATGAGACGACGCCATTACCAAAAAGCGATTTTGGAAGTATGCATCATCATATGTCCAAAATAAAAGAAAAATAAAGGATGTATGCATCATCACTCGAAAGGTGATACGAAGAGCATCCGCAACCCGGAGACTCATAGGAGTTCTTAAGAAAAAGAGTATTTTAGATTTGGTAAGTATATTTCGAATTTTTTTAATAAAAAAAATAGATGACCATTTGCGGGATGCCACGTGTCTTGGAGACCCACAAATAGTGTAAGTATTCGCTAAGAAACAGTCATTATTTATGGATTTTAAGAATCAA